CCGTCCTGTCTTCCCCTGCCTTCGGGGCTGCACGAAAAACACGTAGCAGGTGAGAAAGGTATATGCCGTAAGGGGATGGTCGAAGACGAATGGGGGCGGGTATCGACGGTTTGGGATTTACGTGTTGAGTGGCGCGCGAGCAGATAAGAGCGACTTGTCTAAAATCCCACCAGCCCTTTGGGCGTGAGTGGTTTAGAGAGCCCGCTCTGTTCTCAACCCTCCTTCTTCCCCTTCGTGGAGGGGTTTACCCCTCCCCCTCCCCCCTCCCCCTGGGCCTGGAGAGGGCGCCTCGCGGGTGGTCAGAGGGGTCGTTTTCGACTCCTGGGAGGGCTAAAAAACGACACCCCTCACGAGGATTCTGGCCCCGACGGGGGGAGGGAGAAAAAATGCTCTCCTCTTCTTTGAAGCCAAAATCATTGATTTTACTACGGTTTTGGCCCCATTTTGGCCTTCTGAGGGGGCAGCGCTAATTAAAGCTCCCCTCTTCTTTCAAGCCAGAATCATTGATTTTACAAAGGCTTTGGCCCCATTTTGCCCTTCTGAGGGGCAGCGCTAATTAAAGCTCCCCTCTTCTTTGATCGATTTCCTCCAAGATGGCCCTAAGAAGCGCCCAGGAGGCACCAAGAGACCCCAAGATGGCCCCAAGATGCCCCCCGGAGGCCCCCAAGAGGCCTCCAAGAGGCCCCCAAGATGCCCCCAAGAGGCCCCCAAGAAGCCCCAAGAGGCTCCCCCGAGGCACCCAAGACGCTCCTGGAAGCCCCTGGGGCCGCCAAGAGGCCCCCAAGACGCCCCAAACGGCCTCCAAGAGGCTCCCAAGAGGCCCGAAGAGGCTCCCCCAAGGCACCCAAGACGCTCCTAGAAGCCCCTGGGGCCGCCAAGAGGCCCCCAAGACGCCCCAAAAGGGGACGAGGTGCCCGAACGCCTCACGCCACGAGGAGCCCGAACGACTCACACCAGGACGAGGGGCCCGAACGACTCACACCACGAAGAGCCCGAACGACTCACACCAGAAGGAGGGGCCCGAACGACTCACACCAGGACGAGGCGCCCGAACGACTCACACCACGAGGAGCCCGAACGACTCACACCACGACGAGGGCCCCGAACGACTCACACCACGAGGAGCCCGAACGAGTCACACCAGGAGGAGGGGCCCGAACGACTCACACCAGGACGAGGGGCCCGAACAACTCACACCACGAGAAGCCCGAACGACTCACACCAGGACGAAGAGCCCGAACGACTCACACCACGAAGAGCCCGAACGACTCACACCAGGAAGAAGGGCCCGAACGACTCACACCAGGACGAGAAACCCCAAACGACTCAAACCACGAGGAGCGCTTTCTCTCCCTCCTCCTCCGCCTCGTCCTTCTCCCGCTCCCACCACAAGGAGGATGTACAAGGAGGCGGGAGGAAGGAGGAACAGGGGAGATATGCGGGGGCAGGCGGAAACACGCCTGAAAAACACGACTGTCGGCATGCTTCGCAAGAGTTGCTGTTTTGAGATGGGCTGGTGGGGATACGCGAAGCGTAAATAATTGACTTATATCGTTGTTGCTGATGCAGTCGAGTCCCCACTTCAAAAAATACCTGCCGTTGATCCCCCCTCCGGTAACCATGGAATGTTTCAATTGATGTGCCCCCTCTCGGGGCTTGCACTCGGTTCGTTATCAAGACAAACTTGGGGTTACCGAGCTGTGGTATTGGGCTCCACACTGCCACAACAATGGCTCCCACCTGATATTTCTTCACAAGTTGCGCTCTCGCGTGAACTTCTTCGGAATTAATTCGCACGCCGTGCCCTCGACACTCAGGAATCACGCTTTCGCTTTGGATTCTCCCGCGATAACATAGGGAATCGCGCCGTCGTTGGAGACTTCCTCGGTTCATGCACTACTCAAGCTTCAGCAACGCGATTTCTCGACGTGGCCGCTTGGGCCCGCCTTCCCGACCCGCCCGTTAGGGTCTATCCGCCCGATGGGCCCGTCTGGTTCTGCCACGTGTTCTCTGCTCCTAGCCCCCCCCCCCCTGTGCCAATCCCATATTCCATCCTTCTCTTTCCCTCTTCCATCCGTCTTCTTTTCCTGTTCAGGGGCTGCGCCAATTACGCGTTGCATGAAAAGAAGATAACCCCCCCGAGGGGGTACGATCGAACACGAAGAGGGCGGGTAGCGAGGGTTTGGCATATATGTGTTCAGTGACACACGGGCAGGTAAGAGCGAACAGTCTGAAACTTATCATCACTATAACTAACGATGATATACTGATTGGCCCATTTTACAACAAGAGCGGCTCCCGCCTTATATTTCCCCATGGTCTATTCCCAAATCGCGCTCTCGCGCGGGACTTCTTCAGAACTTCTGCAGGCATCGCGCTCTCGCGTGGTACTTCATCGCGGGCATTGCGGCACCGTGCTCGAAAGACTCCCGAATCACGCTGTTGCCTTGGATATCCTGACTATTTCCTTCGGGGTCGAGCTATCGTTCGGACATTTTTTCATGATGGGTTGACGCTTTGGCGACCCGCCCGCTCGACCTGGCCATCTGGACCCGCCAGCCCGACTTGCCCGTTAGGGTCCGCCCGCCCGACACGCCCGTCTGGTGCTGCCGCCTGTGTTCCTGCTCCTAACCTTCCTCCTGCAAATCTCTATCGTGCTCCATCCTTCTCCATCCCCCTCGTCTGTGCACTCCTCCTCTTGTTCCCCTTGTTTTCGGGGGGTTCGCCAACTACGCGTGGCAGGTAAGGAAGAAATTCCTCCAAGGGGAGCACGATCGAAGATGGAGAAGGCGGGCACTGGGGGTTTGGAGTGTACATGTTGAGTGGCACGCGGGCGCATAGGAGCGAAGGGTCTTAACATGATTGTTGTTGTTGTTGTTGTTCTTGCTGCTGCTGCTGTTGTTGCTCTAGTTGCTGACGTCTCATTTCTAAAACAATTGCTGGTCAACCTAGCAAAGACCATTGTGTTTTTCAATCAAAGTGCTCCTCCCTGGGCTCGCACGCTGCCCCCCTGGCGCCCGAGTTACAACAACAACGGTTCTCGCTTGATACTTCCTCGCAAGTTATTTTAACTTCGCACTCTCGCGCGGGTCTTCCTCACAATGTATGCAAGAATCGCGATCTCGCGTGGTACCTCCTCGCAATTGATTCAAACGCCGCGCCCTCGACACTCAAGAATCGCGCTCTATTCTGGCCTCTCTCGACCTGGCCGCTTGGGCCCGCCTTCCCGGCCCGGCCCGTTAGGGACTACCCGTCCGATTCGCCCGTCTGGCTCTGCCACGTGGTTTCTGCTCCTAGCCTCCTCCTGCTGATGTCTCCCGTGCTCCATCTTTCTCCCCATTCCGTCCGTCCTCTCTTCCCTTGTTTTACGGCCTGCACCAAGGAGACCTGGCAGGTAGAGAGAACATAACCCCACGGGGGTACGAGGGCGGGCAGCGAGGGTTTGGGATATAAGGTTTGTATGGCGCGCGAACAATCAAGAAATAACCGTTTTAACTACTTGTTGTTTTGGTTGCTGTTGTTGTTTGTGTTGTTGTTGTTGATGTTGTTAGTGTTCTTGTTATTGTTATTGTTGTTGGTGTTGTTGTTGTTGTTGTTTGTTGCTGCTGTTGTCGTCGGTCTCGTTGCTGTTGTTTTATTGTGGTTGTTGCGCTTGTCGTTGTTGTTGTTACTGTTGTAATAAATGTTTTGGTTGGGACGACTGAAGACGAATAGGGCGGGTATCCAAGGTTTGGGTTGGGATACGCGTGTGAAATAGCACGCGAGCAGATAAGAGCGAACAGTCATAACATTTTTTACGAACGTAAGATTTGCTGATTCCCCCTCCAGTGACCATTGTAAATTCAAGAAAGATGTTCCTCTGGGTTCTTTCTAGCTTAAAAAAAAACGGGGTGTCACCAAACTGGGCCACTGGCCACTAGGTTACAACAATAACAGCAACAGCAACAATCATTGTGAAACTGTTCGCTCTTATCTGCTCGCGTGCCATTCAACTCGTAAATCCCCAGCCCTCGATACCCACCGTCTTCGTCCTCGACCGTACACCCTTGGGGGTATATCTTTCTTACCTGCAACGTGTATCTCGCGCAGCCCCTGAGGCAGGGGAAGAGAGGACGGACGAAAGGAAGGACAAGGGGGAGGAAGGAGGATGGAGCACGGGCTAGGATCAGAAAGTATGTGGCGGAATCGGACGTGCAGATCGGGCGGGTAGACCCTACCAGGCGGGTCGGGAAGGAAGGCCCAGGCGTCCAGGTCGAGGAGGCGGGTTGCTCAAGCGTGCGTCCTGCATGGATCGCGAGGACATCTCGAACGACAGCTCGATTCCAAAATCAATCGTGACGAAATCCGTAGCGAGAGCGCGACTCCTGAACGTCGAGGGCGCGGCGTCTGAATAACTTGTAAGGAAATACAGCGCGAGAGCGCGATTCCTGAATAAGTTGTGAGGAAGTCCCGCGCGAGAGCGCGATTTTGGATTACATTCCGACGAAGTATCAGGCGGGAACTGCTGTTGTTGTAATTCGGAGGCCAACCGCGCAGTTTGAGCTTAGTGACTTTCCCGGATAAAAAAAACATATGGTGCGAGCCCCGGGGGAAGCACTTGAATTGAAAAAACACAATGGTCACTGCAAGGGGGGATCAACAATACTTATTCAATAATGAAAATTCAACAACGGCTCCCTCCAGATACCTTCTCACAATTGATTGCATAATCGCGCTCTCGTGCGGGACTTCCTCACAATGTATGCAGGAATCGCGTTCTCGCGTGGGACTTCCCCGCGACGTATTCAAACGTCGTGATCCCGGCATTCAGGAATCATGCTTTCGCTATGGATCTCTCACGATTTACTTGGGAATCGCGCTATGGCTCGAACCTGGCTTGCGATTCAAGCAGGATGCACGCTTCAGCAACCCGCCTGCTCGACCTGGCCGATGTTTTCTGCTCCTGGCAGGGTCGACCTACTAATCAGACCGGACTGTGACGCCTCCTCCTTGGCCGCCTCTCCATATCCCTCACGCTCGGCTGCCGTGCACTTGTCTGGGGCAAGCAGGCCGCACTTGGCTTCCCAGCTGTAGTGGGGAAGCGTGAATTTGGAAGACGCCGTGCATCGCCCTATGTTGGCCGCGCAGTGCTTAAGCGACGACATGCTCGGGCTTTCACAAGTCCAACTTAGTAATGCTCTGACGGTAGCTCCTCTAAGCACGCTGGGAAAACCACCAACATCCAACAAACCGCATTTCAACGTCCAACTGCCAACAACCCAAACATCTCAAACATCCCACAAGCCAAGCAAACCACACAACAAGACAACGCAAGCATTCCATAAGCCAGAGCACAGCATTTCAACACAACGCAGCAATACATCGCAACAAACCAACACACACCATACACTTCTTTAACATGCTGTCACACAACTCGTATATGATGTTGCAACATGTCGCTATAGGTTGTGCACTCACACGCGGCATCGCACCAGTGGCCTTTCGCCCCCGCGCCAGCGAGGCAGCGGGGCCCTCTGTGCCCATGCCCTCTTCCCCAGAGAATGGGAGGGGGGAGGGGGGGGCTTGTGGGGAGGTGAGTAGGGAGGAGGGGAGGGGAGGGGGGAGGGGGGAGGGGAGAGGGGAGGGGGGAAGGGGGAGGGGTGGGGGGGGTGAAGCCAGAACAGAAAGGGGAGTAGAAGAGCGGGCAGGGCGGAAGGGGAAGGGAGAGGATCACGAGGGGGAAGGCCCTTGAAGAGCGAGAAGAGGAGGGAGGAGGGGGGGGAGGAAGAGGACGAGGAGGAGGAGAGGGAGTGGGAGGGGGAGGGAGGAGGTGGGGGACCGCATTTTTCATCGCAGGCGTCAGACAACTTTGACTGCTGTTGTTAATAGTGCTGGCTGATGCAGCGCCGTGAATCACCACGACCACTGTCGCCCCGAGATTCGGCCGTCACTTCTGGCTCGGACTCGGGGCCAAGATGAGTTCACGCACCCGTGCAGCTCCACTCTGAACGCGGGTGCTCCAGGCTCCAGTCTTGTCGAAAGCGGCTGGACGTCCCAATCTAAACATCTCTGGTATTCAATCTTCCCCCCGTCCCTCTTCCCCTCTCCGCCCTCCCTCTCGATCCTCCGATCTTCTCTACACCCTGCGAAATGCTTCAGAAATCATGGGTTAAGAAATTCAGGGGTTTCAGAAATTAAGAAAAACCTTAGGATTTACATTGAAACATTAAGAATAATCGAGACTCTGGCCGAAAATGTAAGTTTTCTTAAGCATCGCCTAAGGTGTAGTCCTCGTCGGCCGTGGCCGCGTTCGCGCCCGACACGCTGGCGGGAAGACTCGGGGAAGCCCTCGGGGCGGCCGCCCTCCGTGGCTTCTTTGGCGGGTTGCGTCGGCGACGAGGCCCTCTTCGCGGCAGCCGAGGGCACGCAGGCGGTTCTCGACCGCTGGTCGTCTGATCTGAGGCAGACCACTTCATGGACGCGGACAGCTACGAGGCAGAGTACGGCGACGAACGCGGCAAGAGCCCCATCCTCGTGTTCTTGAAGAAGCACACAGTGGGCGAGAAACTGCGCGACCATGCGAGGGCGCACACGGAAAAGCGGGAGCAGGAGACGGAGTTATGCAAGTCCCTCGAGAAGGCCAAGGCCTCGATTGGCGTTCCCCCGGCAAGCCTGAACCCCGCGAGTACAGCAGACACCAGGAAGGCAAGCGCCGTCGCCGCGCTGGTGGACGAGGTCACCGAGAAAATGAAGTCTGCTGGCAAGCTGTCCCCTCGCATGACGAATGGGATGGAGAGCCTCGCAGAGTTTCAGAAAAGCCGGGTGACCGATGGTGTCAAGCTCTTCCTGGCCACTTCGATGGGCGACCTGATCACGAAGTGCGCCGGCCTCATCGGCCTCGCCGAGATGCGCGAGGAGGTGGCCGCCGACCCCCCCGGCCAGGACGGGGCCGAGGGCCTGTCTCCCCGCCCTGGCGTCGTGGTGAAGGCTGCTCGGCCCGCGCGAGGGCGCGCCGTGGGGGGGGCGCTCTCTGCTTCGGGCTTGCGCCCCCTGTGCCGCTGAGCGCTCCCCCGCTCTGCGGCGACTCTGGTGGGCGTGGCTCGCAAAAGGTCAGCTTCGCAACGCGAGCCCAAGGCGGGGGGGCGAGGACCTCGACCGAATTCTCGGCCGGGCCCCGAAGCGGCCCGAGGAGGGCAGCGTGGTGCCCCCCGCGCCCGACCGCCGCAGATCCCAGACCGCGCCCCGGCGTGGCCACGCACTTTGCAGTCGCCGAACTCTTTCTTCGAATCGCGCCGGGCGCGCGCGGGCGGGCGTCGTCGTCGTTCGTTTGTCCCGCGGGCGGGCCCACCTCTGTTGGCAGACCAGCACCCCTCGGGGCCTCTCTCACTGCCGCGGGCCCAAGGCCATTCGCTCCTCCGCGCAGCAGGGCCGACCCACGCTGGTGCGCCGAACTCTTCTTCGGGTGCGGTCCCTCTCCCTTTCTCGCTCCTCGGCTCCTCGGTCTCCGGCCCGTCTCTGTCCCTTGCCTGGCCCGCTTTTCTTCGTCGGCCCGCCCTGTGGTCCGAATAAGACCTACGGTGGCCCTGCACTGCCACGCTGGCGAATAGCCGGGCGTGGGCGATCTTGGCTCTTCTTCGGGCGCCCCGGCACCTGCACCGATGCTGCGCCGCGGGGCCTCCCGCAACTCCTCTCCCATCTCCTCTGGCTCGCACTCCTCCTCGCTCCGCACTTTCAGGGTGTCTTCAGGGGCTCGCCTGCTTGGGCCGCTGCTGTGCTCCTCTGGGGAAGGGGCGAGGGCCTTCTTCGTCCATACCGCGACTCGTGCAGACCCAGCTGCGCCAGCACAGGCCGTCTCAGCCGAGTGCGTATCTTTGGCTGGAGCAGTGGGCGGCTCTGTGGCCATGTTGCTGCCACGCCCTGCGCAAAAAGCGTGGCAGAGTGCCATCACGGCTAGGGCTGGAGCCGCCTCTGCCGCGACCTGTGCACGCAGGCCGCTGCTGGACATTCTTCTCAGAAATGTCCACTGGCAACGGCCGGCCCGCGGGGTGCATTTGCTCGCCTGGCTTTTCTGAAGTGTTCTCCCCTGGCCTCCACGGGCCTTCTGTTGAGAGGGGGAGGAAGAGGAGCGGGTGGAGGAGGAGGAGAAGGACGAGGAGGAGGAGGAGGAGGATGCACAGGAGGAGGAGGAGGAAAAAGATGAGGATGAGGAGGATGAGGAGGAGGAGGAAGAGGAGTACCAATGGAAACCCAAGGCTCATCAACGATGTTGGAAGAACCCCTCCCTCCAAGACCCTTTTTCGTAGGCCCCATACAAGGGTTCATTTTCACTGTTGGCGACACTGAGGCGCGCCAAAACACGATTGTCGGAACTCTAACGCCACGAATCAACACGACTGTTGCGTTTTTTGACGGTCCGGAACCGTGCCAAAACATCATTCTTGATACTTTAACGCTGCGAATCAACATAACTGCTGCGCTCTCACAATCCCGAATCCTTCCAGAACATGATTTCTGGAACGTTGAGACTGGGAACCCGTGAAACTATTGCAACTGCTCAAACCGAATGTGCGCGGCCCTGGGGCGAGATCCACCGTTTGAAAATGAGCGGGCCTTAATCCGTGAAGCTTTCGCAATATTTCCAAGCGAAAGTGCGCGGCGTTACACCGAAAACCACATTTGGAAGACCAGCTGGCCTCAATCCGTGAAGCCCTTGCATTCTTTTTGAAACGAATGTGCGCAGCGCTAAAGCGAAACGACATGATGCCGGAGAAAAAAAACCAATCAGAATTTGTTTGGGGCTATAGGGCTATATGGCTATTGGACTATAGGGCTATAAGGCTATCATAGGGCTACTTAAGGGCTATAGGGCGATAGCGATATAGGGCTATAAGGCTATAAGGCTACAGGGCACCGGGCACCCGGGCACCCGGCACTCGCCCTGGAAGACAAAGCCTCGTGGCTATTACTGGGCCGTTTTGGTGTGGAACTGCCAACGATTTTCAAGTGTCTGGTCGTGTCTATTTCCATGTCCCGCGCATCATCCACCCGGGGACCGGGCACCCGGCACCCACCCGGGCACCGGGCACCCGACACCCGGGCACCCGGGCACCCGGGCATCCGGGCACCCGGGCCCGGCCACCGAATCGGCGGCGAACCCGGGCACCCGGGCACCCAGGCACCCGGGCCCGGCCACCGAATCGGCGGCGAACCCGGGCACCCGGGACCCGGACACCCGGGCACCCAGGCCCGGCCACCGAATCGTCGGCACACCTCACTTACCCTTACATCCGCTAGGACTCCGACAGAGGCAAGCTCTGATAGGGGAATTGGAAAACCACCCGCCCTGAATCCGTGAATCTCTTGCAATGATTTTATACGAATGTGCGCGGCGCTGGAGCGAGAACCGCATTTTGCAAAAGACCCGCCCTCAATCAATCCGTGCAGCTCTTGCACATGTTTCAAACGAGTACGCGCGGCGCCAAGGCGAGAGCCACATTTTGGAAACGACCCGCCTTCCATCCGCGAAGCTGCTGCCAGCTTCGAAACTCCAGGGTTCAGAATGGTGACGAAACATCAGGCGAAACGCCTGGCCTACCCATTCGACTGGCATCGGGGTGCGACCTGGAGGACTTATTTGTGAAAAGCGAACGGAGTAGGAGGAGGAGGAGGAGGAGGAGGAGGAGGAGGAGGAGGAGGAGGAGGAGGACCATGTAAACCAAAGGGTCACCAACGATGTTGGAATAAGCTCTCCCCCCAAGGTCTCTCTTCATAAGCCCCAAATCGGTTCAGTTCCACAGAAAGACTTCGTTGGAAGTCAACCGTTTGAGGACCCTGAGCATGCAACAACAATATTCTCGGCATTCCATTGCCACGGATAAACCTGGGTGTCGCGTTTTGGCGATCCAGAATCGCGCCAGAACGCCATTCCCGGGACTTCAACACCACGAATCATCTTAACTGTCGCGCCCTCATAATCGTGAACCCATGGTACGCCGATCATGGGAATCCGTGAAGCTCTTGGAATAAAAAGAATGTGCGCGGCGCTGAGGCGAGAGAAACATTTTGAAAAGGACCTGCCCTCAATCCGAAAAACCATCGCAATTTTTGAAAACGAATGCGTGCGGCGCAGAGACGAGAACCACATGTTGAAAACTGCCCACCTTTTTAATCCGTGAAGCTCTTGCGAT